ACTTTCGACAATCCACAACTTGATGTCCTTTGCAACATAAAGGGGCGGATTTCATTAAAAACATTTCTACATATTTCTTTTGGAAGTCGAAAAATTTCAGTGAACCGTTCCCCTGAAATACAGAAGGGATCCGTGGATTCCCGCAACAATTTTCTTTTGCTTCGCAAACGGTTCCTTAAAGCTCGCTGAGAGTTCACTGAGATACGAAACAAATATCTTCGCAACTCACTCATCTTGACCACGTATTTATTATCACAACACTCTTTCTTAATATTATAATGAAATAGACCGAGATTGCGGCTTTTAATTTCTGATTTAGAGCAAATTATATCAAAATTACAAATTTTAACTAAATTCCCGTGGGCCATAAAAGTAAACAAAATTTGACATTTCTCTTCAACTACACCAGCGACACCTGCGGCGGATAAAAGTATTACAATTTTCCTTGGAGATTTTTAGAGATGAACCAGCCGGAATCGCATATAAGAAAAATCGCCTAAAGTTCGGATAATTTTTAGCGTTTGGGATTTGTAGAGTTTTAGCGATAGCGAAAGCTGGAATCCGGCTGCAGGTCAGTTAAAAAATACGCGACCTGAAGGGTAGTGTTTGGTTAGTAGGTAGTGAATGGTTAATGGGAAACTAGGGAGGGAAATTTTGGTTTCCTTATATACGTGGCTTATATTTTAATTAATTATATATATTACGCAGATACCTCGCGTAATTACTCATTGAAATTGGTTTTTGTTTCTAAGTCCCGCTAAACTAGTCACACGTTTCTTGACAGCTACCAACAGGGTTGCTTGAGTAAAGGAAATTTTACCCGAGTTGAGCGTTCTTTATTCTTCCATACATGTTAGATAGAAAGCATTTTCGCTATTGTTCATACGCGAAATTTTTCTACATACTTTCAAGAATTGGTAGGGCTATGCTCATCTGCAGGTATAACCGCAAATATTGCTGTTAAATTATGTTTTTCTATAAATATTTCTGAGAAATACTAACGACCATAATTGCATGAGAATGCATTCCATTATTATATACAATTAATGGAAGTTGTACTAGCCATACCTGCAACACAAGTTTCTGTTGAAAGAGCGTACAGTGCACGTTCAACAATATTAACTAATGAGATAGGGCGTTTTCGAACTGGCTGCCGAGATAGGTCGATCTTCCACTCAACCATCGATATGTTGAAGATAGCAAATAAGCAAAACTAGTTGTTTTTATCAGCTTTTATTTACATACATATGTATATTCATATAAAAATTGAAGTGTAGAATTGAATAAATATGTATACATACTTATATACATAAAATATGAATAATCTTTATGAGTTTTAATTTAAGTAATTTCATGTACATACATACATACTTACATACATATTTACGAATACATAAATGCAAGTGCGGTAATAAATATTTCTTTAATATGAAATTTAAAACAATATGTATTTAAAAAATACAACCTTATTTTATATATGAGACATTCTTTTTCATATCGGACACCAAATTTGGTGTCACACTTTCGATTGGCTTAAATTTTTTTATAGGTTCTATACATGAACATACATGAGATATGATCTGTCAAACTTTGCATTTTTTCGTAATGCTGACTAATCATGTACTTCTTCAAATCGTAATATCTCGGGTTCTGGTCATCGTAATTTACTGGTCTTCACTATGCAAATCAACTTCAAAAAGTTCAGCTGTTAATTGCTAAGTTAGCTTTAGGACTATCTTGACCATCTTATATATAAAAACTCACTATTGATAATCGGGAGAACAGTGTAAGTATTATAATTTTTAGACAGGTGGGAACCCTATTAAAAAAAATAAAAACTTATTTCATATCTAGAGGCCCAGCCCCTTAATTTGACACCTCATTTTTTGAAAATCGGGAGAACGGTGAAAATATTATTATTTTGTAGACAGGCGGCAACTCTGTTCAACAAATAAATCCTAAAGGCGATGTCAGATAGAACTTCGTAGCTTCCCGTGACATTTCGAACTTTGGCAGCAAAGCGAAGAGCGCGAAAGATATGTAACAATAGACGCTTTGACAACACTTGCGCATTGTTTATTTAATTGTTGAAATTGTGGTGTCAATTTAGTTTTGTGAAATAAAATACATTAAAAATGTTTTTTGATGAAATTTTCGATCTGTTATTAATAGTGCTGTTGATGCATGGAGCCTTAGAGTGCCTAAAAAGAAGTTCAAGGCGACGGTTTTGGATGAGGAGGCTTTACCAAGACCGTGACACTACGGGCCTCTTTGCTTCCAGCTTCCAAGAAATGTATCAAAACGATCCGGAGCAATTTAAAAAGAGTGTCCGCTTGACTCCCAATGTTTTCGATTTATTGCATGAACTTTTAAAGGAACGGCTTACTAAAATATCAAACAGGCCACCGATTTCATCAAAATGCCGTATTTTCTTAACGCTTACGTGAGTTATGATGGTTTACACTAATTTCATAAAATATCTACATACCTATGAGTACATCCAAATTTTAACATTACGTTTACATATACAGTTATCTAGCACATGGAGACAGCAAGCAAACACTTGCTACAGCTTTTAAAATGGGGCGCTCCACTGTAGTAACCATTATCAGCGAGGTCTGTGAAGCAATTTGGCAGGAGCTGGGTGGTATATACATACCAGTCGGTTCCACAGAAACATGAGTGGAAACGCATTGCTTCGGATTTTAACACCATGTGGAACTTTCCGAATTGCATCGGGGCGGTTGATGGAAAGCATATAACGATATCATGCCCCCCGAATTCCGGATCATTATTTGATCATTATTTTATAATTATAAGGGAAGCTACTCTATTGTTCTTCTGGCTACTTGCGACGCCAACTATACATTTACAACTGTTGACATCGGGGTATATGGTTCCCAAAGTTACGGCGGAGTACTATGGCACTCTGGCTTTGGGCAACGGCTGCTAAGTGGCAACCTAGATTTGCCAGAGGATGATTATCT